TAGCAAGTTCACGCTACTGCTCACGTTTCCTGCAACAATCTTGCCCAGGTCTTCAGTGTCCACAAACCGTCCTGTGGTGGCAATTGACTAAAAAAAGAGCAGCCACACTGTTCACAAAATGCCTTTTTCCAGCTGAAAAATGCACCGATCGACAGGCACCACCCCTGTTAGGAAGAGCCACATCAGGACCATGGGCACAGGGCTCTGCTCAGCGCCGCGGTTCAGGGCAGTCACGCAATTCCCCACTGTCCGGGGAGCAAAACAGACATTAAATACAGACTGTGTTCGCTTTTACCTTGAACCAAACCCTCATGCTCCATTTAATGCTTGTGACTCTCCTTGCTTTTTAAAACTCATTTATTTCTCAGGATCTTCCCGCTCCTCTCTTCCCCCCTCTTTCTTACCCTTCTGCCGCAGTCATTACATTAACAAAAAGCGGGGATGACTCCTGTATAATAAAATTTTATCTGAAACGATGACGTCCTGGGAAGATGGTCATTTAGTTAATTGAATTCTCTCTAAAATGGCAGTGAATCAATATTCCAGCGCGGCGCTGGCAGCACGCAGCTGGCGGTGAAGTCTTGCAAGGAACATTCCCAGTCAAACCAGTGTCACAGGGTGCTGGCTGCAAGGGTTTGAATTCCTCGTCCCGGTTTTAGAGGCAAAGGGCTGAGAAGGTGCCTGACCCACCAGGGTATCAGCTGCTCTCTGAATCTCCTCTGGATGGGATTTACAGCCTACATGCTGTGGTTTGGAAACCATTGTCCATCAGACTAGGAGTGAAATGGAAAATTACGGAGGATGGCAGCGCAGGTCCAGCTCGAAGGGAAGCTCTTTACCCTGGCGTGGGACCAAGGATCTGTGCTGCACCAGCGTGAGGCACCCCATGGAGACATACTCCCCGAGGGAGCTGCTTTATGGACCAGCAACATCTCTGAGCTCTTCCTGGTGCTCCTACGTAGGGGCAGAAGGATAAAATCCTGCCAGGCTTATAGAATGGTTTGGGTTGGAAGGAACCTTAAAGCCCCCAGTGCCACCCCCTGCCCTGGGCAGGGACACCTCCCACCACACCAGGTTGCTCCAAGCCCCCTCCAACCTGCCCTTGAACCCCTCCAGGGATGGGGCAGCCACAGCTTCTCGGGCCAACCTGGGCCAGGCTCTCACCACCCTCCCACCAAACAAGTTCTTCCCCACATCTCAGCTCCATCTCCCCTCTTGCAGGGTCAAACCCTTCCCCCTCCTCCTAGGGCTCCCCTCCCTGATCCAGAGTCCCTCCCCAGCTTTCCTGGAGCCCCTTGAGGGACTGGAAGGGGCTCAAAGATCTCCCCGGAATCTTCTCTGCTCCAGGTTGAAGATGTAGATGCTCTGCTCCAGCATCCATTGCCTCACTCTTCTCGGAATGAATCTACATCCTTGAGGAACAGAGTGATCCGTCCTCATCAGTATCTCTGGCCAAACCACTGATCCCAGAGGAAAACGACCTCTCAGAGGAGCCAGATCCTTAGTCCCAGGCACACAACTTGTTGCAGAAGCATGAAGCACTTCATTCAGTACAGACTTGACCCCAGGAACTTTCTAGGGAAGTGACCTTGGGGGCAGAGAACCCATTTGACAGCTACATCCATCATGACCACTCAGCTGAGCCTTCTGGGCTGTACGTCTCCCTGGCACACTGGGAGATCCACCTGCAAGAGGGTCTGGGTTTGTCCACAACGGTGGAGCAGGTAGGCGTTTGTGGTGGCAGGGTTGGGTGTGAGGTCTGGAAGGCTCCTCCACTGCGGGAGGGGGACCGGAGAGCAGCCAAGGGGATGAAACAAATGGAAAGGAGGAAAAAAAACCAAACAGTTTCATGTCCGGGGCTTGGATCAGTGTGAACAACATAAATACTGGCCGAGACACCTTCCGCCCGCTGGCTCCTCTGCTGTGAGGGAATTACACGCTGGCTGCAAGATGTCTTTCTTGAGCTGGTGTGGAGCCAACCTCCGAGCAAAGCCTTGGCCAGAGCAAACCCATTAGCGCAGGGGAGATGGCTGCAAGCCCTTTGGTTTGGGTCCTGTCACTTCTCGTCACACAAAGTAGCTCTGCAGCTAATATTTCAAGGTCTCTGCTGTCTCAGCAACCCATGGCACTGCTTCAAGCCTCACCGGGAAAACGGCCGGAGCTGCTGGTCCCGTGGAAATTCCTTCAGGTTATGGTCTTCTCAAGGGCTGAGGGCTCCAGCTTGGCCTCTTCTGGTCCATTCTGTGCTCCACTGCCAACCGTCCTGGGGACTTCCACTTCCCGGTCCACATTAGTCCTGAAGACTGATGTTTAAAGGCTGTACTCCTTGCATTGGCCTCCCTTTGAGGCCATGTGTCCCCCTGGATTCAGCCACGCACAGGGGTTGTGTGATGTGTCCCTCACACAGATCACAGCTGAGGTTCCTCACATGATTTTTTCTAAAGGGCCTTCACACCCTTCTGGAAAATGACCAGGGCAAGCTTTGCATGCACACACATAGCCCACACCTCCCCAGGACACCACTACACTGGTATTTAGAAAGTTTTCTGGTTTTGGTGAAGACCCAAATGAACTGGGTCCCAGGAAGTTGTTCCCATCACTTCAGCAGAAGTGACTTCTGTTCAGGTTGATCTTCGGCACTTTGGAGCCTTTAGACCCTGTTGGGTCTTTACCTGCATTAATTATCCTGGGGATGGTTGGGTAGGTACCAGACTAGAAGATGTCAACCAGCTTGGCCAGACCATTGCTGCCCTCTCCACCCAGCCCAGTCCCCACGCAGAGGACAGCGTACGATAGATCTGCCTCCCTGGGGATAAGATGAATGTCCGTGGAGGAAAATCCTGTGGAAGCTGTGGAGCGAGTGGTGGAGAACTTGAAGAGGAGCTGGAGAGGGTAAGGAGCACCTTGAGGCTGGGTGGTTTGGCAGTGCATGGGAACTAGTAGCCACCACCCGACCTCCACCACGGCTTCACACACTGCAAAGAAGCTGCTTCTCTTCACGATACAGAGCAGGATGCAACCCACCAATGGCAAGGCTTGGACAAACTGGCTGTCCAAGGGGACAACCTGCAGCCCCTGCCCTGGCTGCTCCATCGCCTGAGCAGCAACAGCTCAGCTCTTCTTGCTCCTGGATGAACTCCAAGCAAGGACCCATCCACCCTCCTTGCAGGCTCACAAACCCTGGGTGTTCAGCAGCAGCTGAGCTGCTGATGCCCCCAGCCCCAGGAGATGCCAGAGCTGCTGCTCTTCCCACACGGAAGCTTAAAACCCTTCCCAGGCACCGTTTCCCGCTATCAAAAGTGCATCAGGACCCACAACTCCCCATCAGAGCTGTCCCCACAGAGGTACCTCCCTTTGCTCCACCACCAAGTCCTCACCAGAGCCACAGACAGGCAGGGGGATGAGTCCCATGGGGCCTGGCCTGCCCACCTCTCCTCAAAATGTCCTTCCTTCACAAAGTACACATGAGGACAGGGCTGTGGATGGCACCTCCACGGACCAGGGGGCAGCCTTGCCCTGGGAATCGGGCACCTCATTTTTGCAGCCAGGCAACGGAGTCAGCAAAGGGTTAAAGCCCCTTTCCCCCAGCAGCAACTTTTTGACAGGAGGAACATTTGAAGAATGCTCTCATTTGAAGAATCCAGGAGAGCACTCAGAGGCACAGCCAGCCAGAAACTCCCACTGCCCTGACCAGAGGAGGGCTAACACCAACCAAGGAGGGCTAATGCACCCCAAGCCCTCACCCCAACCTGCCACTGGTGGGCACATAGAATCATGGGATGGTTAGAGTTGGAAGGGACCTTAAAGATCATCGAGTTCCAATCCCCTGCTCTGGGCAGGGACACCTCCCACCAGAGCAGGTTGCTCAAAGCCCTGTCCAACCTGGCCTTAAACACACTGGTAGACACTTACTGGTGGATCCTTACTGGTGGACCTTTGCTGAGGCTGAAACCAGCCCAGAAGAAGATGACCTCTTCCTTCTGTATCTTCAAAAGCAGGTGGTGATGATGCAGAAGGTGCAGGGCTGTGTGTTGGCAAGGGAGTGAGCCCACCCAAGCCCCATGCGTGTCCCCACCACGTCCCTCCCAGCATGGGCAGTGCCAGTGCCATGGCCAAGTAATCCCTGGGGGTTATTTTGGGGAGAAGAGATGACCAGGGAGGCGGGTCTCTGACTGGAAAGCTTGGCACTGCCACCCAGCTGGGGATGGGGGGTGGTGGCACCTGCACCCGGCCTTGTGCACCCCAAGCACCCGCAGCAGCCCTCGCCCCCTTCCCGGAGCTGCCGTCCCCATCCCGCCCGTTCCCAGGGCTGGTTACCAGGAGCTGGTGTGTTTGGTCGCAAACAGAGCCGGAGCGGGAGCCAGGCCCTTGTGTTTGTGTGCCTGCGGTTGCTCAGGCAACTCGGGGATGGACGGGAGCTGCCAAAACCACCGGCGGCCAGCCCCAAGCCCACGGCACCCGTCCCTGGGGCGGCATGGCTCAGCCCGGACCCCCACCACCCAGCTGGGGGAAGCGGGCACAGGGTAGGGGGGTGGTCCCCCTGAACACAACCAGAGCGGGGGGCGTCAGTGCGGAGGGGGTTTTATTGCAGAGCCGGGGTACAGCGCGGGTCTGCAGCATCCTTTGGTTTGGGCTTCACCGAGGCAGCAGGGAGAACCTTCAGGTGGGAGAACCTTTGTCAACAGCCGGGCAACACCAAGGCTTTTCCCAGGAGGGAGCATCCCGGCAGCACCGGCACTAACGGCACCGGCAGGGGCTGAGCATCCTCGGGCAAAACCGGGCAGCCTCGGTGGGGAAGGAAGGAGGCGGCCGTGGTGGAACTGGTGGTGGTGGTGGTGGTGGGGTGGTTAAGGCAGGTCCCCCGGGAGGTTTTGGGGGGAAGAGGGGCTGTGGGACTGGCGGGGAGGGTGCCCCAAAAGCCAGGGCTGAGGTAGGGAAGGTGTGGGTGCCAGCGGGAGCCCTGAGGAGCAGTGCTGTTAGTATG